GACCACTAAACAAATAAAAAACTTTAGTTTAGTTCCTTCAACCATTTCAGCCTTATGAATGGAATAAGGAAGAATTTAGGCTGAACTCTATGAAATCAGCATTTTAAAGTTAAACTGGCAGAATATTCATGGACTATTTCATGACTATTTCATGTAACTCGTAGGCATAATGAGATGAAACATTACTTAGCTAAAAATATCACTCACTTGACATACTAAGCATATTTCAACCCAAAGTTTTTCTTTGGTTCCCCCAAGGTTCTGCATAACCCCCCACATCTTAGTTTCTCTCTTGAAATAAAGTCCTAGCAGGCTAGATTTAGGTTACTATGAGAAACGGTCTTGAAAAGGAATCCTATTGAACAATTTTGTTTTTAACACTAAGAAAAACATACATACCTTCTGAACAAGGCTACACCAGTTATCAAAGTCTTTTTCTTCTTTGCAGAAAAATCCCTTGGGGGGGAAACAAGAGAACACAACTTAGAAGTGGGCAGGTGCACTAAGTCAGGCCCTATGCACTGCAAGATGGAGCCACTGGCCCAAAGCTGTGATATGGGCCACTCTCTATGGATGTGTCTTCTGGCAATAATGAAAAATACTGGCAGGATTTCTCTCTCTCCTAGGTCATTGCCTCACCTGGACACACACATTTACTTGTTCATTCCATCTCTCCCTCTCCATCTTTATCTCTTTCTCTCCCTCCCTCACTCTCTCCCTCCCTCTCCCTCTTTCCCTGTCCTTGGCCTTCCCCATCCATCTCCCCTCATACTATGAGACACAGTAACTTGAAGGCCAATCTCCAGAGCATGGGGTTAATTCCATCACATTCAGTGCACAGACACATCCACAAAAAACAGTCAACTAAACCAACAGATAAGCCAAATAGTACTTTTAGCTAGAGGCGGTACTTAATAAGATGGCTTTCACCTTAAGGAAATTATCTATTAGAATAAAGGGGACCATGAATCTCCTTCCCCATCCTCAGAGCCATCCTTCCAGGGGGGAAACCCTGCAACTTCCTGGATTGGGTGTCCAGAGAAATCAGCACTAGGCACGCAGAAGTGCCCCTGGGTGCCCTCTTATCCCTCCCTCCCTCTGTATGTCCTACCTTATTCCCTGTGCCTGTGTGGCAATAATTAGAGGGCAAGAAGTAAAAGGGGAATGACTGTAACACTAATAATAACTATTTACAGAATGCTTACAATGTGCCCGGCACTGCGCTGAGCGCCTAATGCACAGTATACGTCATACGACCCTACGGTGAAGGAACTATTGTTTTGCTCATTTTAGGGATGAGAAGACTGAGGCTTAGAAAAGTTAAGAGACTCCCACTAAGTCCATAGCTAGTAAGCGGCAGGGCCTGGATTCCAACTCGAGTAGTTGTCTTCAAGGTCCACCCCCTCCCCACAATACTATGCTACCCCTTGTAGGGGTTGGTGACTGAACACATTCTTGCCGCCCTACCTAGCAACCTGGATGACCCTCAAGGAACCAATCTGTAATAGGGTGCTGTTGTATCTCTTGGCCCGCCTAACCTTCAGATACCCACCAATGCTACGGAAGGATCCAAGTTCAAGATGTTCATTCGCTGAGGGGATTGCAGGCAATGGAAAGTCTGGTCATCAACCGTTCCATTTTCCTCGGTGTTAACAAAAGTCTGGGTTGTGTGAGGGTCCAAGAAAATGAGCTCATCACCTGTTTGGAATGAGATATGCTTAATCTAGAAAGAACCACTGGCTCTGGCCTCACTGCTTCCCTTGGGAGAGGCACTCTGGTTTTCTAAACCCATCCCTTGGTGACAATGAGAATGAGGTGACAGAAAGCCCAAACTTGGGTGATCATGCTTGAAGGAAGCCAAGTCCAATCATTTGATGAGAAGACTTGCCCTAGCATTTGCATCTCCTTAAGGTCCAAGACTGGAAATGGAGAGTGACAGGTTTGAGAAATGGTTTGAGGAATGAGAGACCACAGATGACATGGCAGGCTCTGTGAGCAGCAGTAGCAAAGAGGCAGTAGGTAGGATCACCAGGGCATGAGCCCAGGTGCCATTAGGGGGAGCTTCCTGCCTCTCCCAACATGGAAAAGCATCTCACTCCACACCATCAGTGCTCAGACCTCCGGTCAGAGAGCCCATCTGGTAAGAAAAAAGGCCTTGGCCTTCAAAAGAAATGGGAATGAGGACTCTGCAATGGATAGGATACCAGGGCTCTGACTTCTGGTCTTGATTTAGCTAGAAAATTAGTCAATGTTAGCAAGTTAGTAATTCCTGTTGGAAAGCACTGCCTTGGGCTCCTTAACATCAGTACACCTACGCCTCCCTGGGAGAATTCACTTCAACATGTTCAATCTTTACAAATGAGAGGAAAGCCACATTTTGTCAAATTGAAAAGGCCTAGTCCAATGATGACCCTGGAGGAGTCTGAAATAATAAAAGCTCTACTTTGATATCAAGAGGCTGAGAGTCCCTCTAATGCTCATCAGAGGCAGGCTGAGCTGCCAAAAGTTCCTAAGGTGGAAACCCAACCTCACTGTCCAGGCCTCAGGGCCACGTGGGCTTCTGTGTAATAGACTGGGTTAGGCAACCAAAGAGAGATCTACCTGAGGCTGGAGGGCATGGTAGGAAGAGATGCCCCAAAGAATCTCCCTGGAATTGCACCCAGGGCTGTGTTGGGCCCCATCTAAGTACTTCTGCTGGCAAAGAATATGTTTCTGATGTCTGATGAGTAGCTTAACTTGTCTGTGTCACAGACCAAGGGCAACCATTCAATTCAATTGGTCTTAAATTCTCTTGTTTTTAAACTGGGGTTACTAGGCCTGTTCCAGTTACCTCACAGGGCATTATAAGAACCAGAAGGTTTCTTTGCTGTGAAATGCTTAAAATACAATACAAATACAAGGTGGACACTGAAGTATCTCGCTTTGACTCAAAAGTATTTCCCTACAAATACATGTTTAAGAGTATATGAAAATCAATGCCCCCATATGACTTGTTTTATGAAAGTCAAGGAACATACATATTTCCCCTAGACCACAGGTGGGTGAGATCAGTTATATCAAAAAAGCATGAAGTCACAAAGAAAAGCAACAACCAGAATGTTTAGAAGGAAGCCTACTTATGACGACAGAAAAGTAAGAAGGAAAGGAAGTTCTGCACAATAAAATAGAGATCCAGAGCATGGTTAGAATCAAGCATCCTACCAGGGCGTTTCAAGTTAAGATGCTGGGAATAATAAGAGCGTCCTCTCTGATTCTGGCCTTGTGTGTGTGTGTGTGTGTGTGTGTGTGTGTGTGTGTGTGTGTGTGTGTGTGATGGAGCTTGGCAGGCTGCACTGTTCCTTAGAGTGCTTAAAAGAGATACAGGAGAATATCTAAGAAGCCCTAGAAGTGATGTGGGGACTAAATCAAGGTCTCTAAAGAGGCTCAAGTGTAAGAGGCAGTCTGGTCAACCATCTGCAGACACAGGGCTCACACTACGCATCTCAGGTGACAACCTTTCTTTACCCAAGTACAGGGGACAAACATCTCCTGTTTAAGCAGGCAAAATTGGAGAGCCAGAGTCTCATCCTGGCCTTAGTGTCCACATTGAGAGCTTTCCCCAGCTTCCCACCAAGAAAGAGGGCCCTCAGGAAGCAATGTGGCATGGTAAAATGTGGATGGCCAAATCGGGATTATATCCTGGCTTTGCTACTTTCTAGCTGGGTGGCCTTGAGGAAACAATCCCTCTAACTCTTAGTCTCACTATAATAACAAGCTCTAACTCACAGTTATGCTGTGAGTTATTATGCTATCTATATACATCTCTATATAGGACTATCTATATCTATACATCTCTATATAGGACTATATATGTATATGTTCTCTATATATCTACCTACCTACCTACCTACCTACCTACCTTCCTACCTACATGGGGAGTGGTACTTGGCGGGGTCTCTGACACAAGACAGCTGTTCAGAAAATGGCAGGTCTCATCTGTTTCCTCCTTTTAGGCATTTTACAATCCGGAACCCCAACCAAATACAGTAAGGGGATAAGGCAGAAAAGGGGATTTAGGGGGACTTTGGAGCCTCCAATGAAGGTGAAGCAAAGAGTTTATGAAAGCCAATGGGCAAATGGGTACTATGTAAACCTCTCTCTGGGGAACTAAAGATTGCCCTCACCCTTTTCACGAGTAGTCAACCCTCACAAGTCACCCTGACCCAATGGGCTCATGAAACAAAAGGGCTATGCCAGCTTGGCAAATTCTCTCTGGGTAACTTGAGGAAAGCGAGGCCAGGGTACCCGGGAATCCCATACACTCTCCATTGAGCCCCCTCCAAAATTATTTAGTATCTGTTTCAGCCTTGTGATCAAGTACCAAAATACAGGAAATTGACTTTTTTACAACATTGTATTTGACAGGATCCCAAAAATTTAGAAGCAGAGGCTGTCTAAATTTATATAACTCCAAATACTGGATTTTGTACTTGGAGAAAGAAACGAATGCCTCCATGGTTTGCAAATTTTCCATCAAGCTGTAGTTTTGGGCTCGACCAATAGATGGCAGCAATAGAGAGCTCAGGCAACTGTGTAGACAGCCTCAAAGAGAAGAAAGAGTAAGCAAAGACCAGACCAGTTGGGGGTCAGGAAAGGTGGGGCTATCTTTTACTGAGTGCATACTACATGCCTGGCTATTTGCTGAGTGCTCCCCTGTGAGGTGACAACACGGAGAGTTAAGGGGTAGGCCTATTTTCTTTTTTGTTTTCCTTAAAAAAATTTTTTTTGCTGTTTTATTTATGAGAGACAGAGAGACTAAGTGCGAGTAGAGGAGGGACAGAGAGAGAGAGAGAGGGAGACACAGAATCCAAAGCAGGCTCTAGGCTCTGAGCTGTCAGCACAGAGCCCGACTCAGGACTCGAACTCATGACTTGTGAGATCATGACCTAAGCTGAAGTTGGATGCTCAATCAACTAAGCCACCCAGGCACCCCTCTTTTTTGTTTTTTAAAGTAAGCTCTAAGCCCAACATGAGGCTCGAACTCACAACCCTGAGATCAAGAGTCACATGCTCTACCGACTGAGCCAGCCAGGGGCCCCAGCCCTATTTTCCACTAGAGGAAACTGAGACTGAAGAGTTGATATTTGTTTCCTGCTGTCACACAGCTGATAACTGGGAGACTGCATATGAGGCCAGGTATGTCTGTTTCCACCCCCTCCTCACCTCCCTGAATCTCCAAGGAGTTGGGGTGGGGAGGGTGGCCAAGCCCATTTCACCTTCTCCTCTGCACATCCCTTGTGCCTTTCCCCAGGTCTGCTCTGGCTCGCTCTTGCCTAACTGAGGCTCTCCCTTGTATTCTAAGCTCATGTTCCTCGAAGCCCAGTTTCAGGCCACATCGCCCCCTTCCCTGTGCTCTTCAGCACTAACCAGGGGTCTAGGCCCTTGGTACTCAACGTGCAGTGTGTACACCAGCAGCCGCAGGACCACCTAGTTAGAAATGTAGACTCTCAGGGCCCACCCTGGACCTGCTGAACGTGCATTTTAAATAGGCTCTCAGGGGGCACCTGGGTGGCTCAGTCGGTTAAGTGTCTGACTTCGGCTCAGGTCATGATCTCACGGTCCATGAGTTCGAGCCCTGCATCAGGCTCTATGCTGACAGCTCAGAGCCTGGAGCCTGCTTCAGATTCTGTGTTTCCCTCTCTCTCTGACCCTCCCCCGTTCATGCTCTGTCTCTCTCTCTCTCTAAAATAAATAAACATTAAAAAAAATTAAATAGCCTCTTAGGGTGATTTGCATGCACATTAAAGTTTGAGAAGAACTGGGCTAGCTCACCTCGTGTGCCATGGGCCTTAAATGACTCTGACCACAGCTAGTGAATAAGGCAGCTAGATTTCCAGAGGCATCGACATAGGCAGGGGATCCTGGGCTGCTTGTTAGCATCTGCATTAGGAAGTTAGTGGTTTTAAGGCTTAGCCCCTGTTATCAGAAACAGGATAGCTCTGTCTTTGCCTCCTTTCACGTCTACCTAGTCATGGCTCTGAACAAGGAGGCAGCAGGCCCAGCTGCATGGAAGTCAGAAGATAGCTCCTAGCATGAATGCCCAAGCCCCTAAAAGAGGGGGATCGACAATGCCAGGAGAGTGAAACCCTGCCACCCTGGACCCCACAGAAAGGAGACAGAGATGCTGAGATAATGCTGTGACCTTGGGGTGGTCCAGTGGGAGAGCAGCTATAGAACCATCTTATCAAGAGGCAAGGAAGTGGGACACTGAAGGAGGGGATCCACTCTCCAGCAGACACAGAGAAGTGTTACTCTCCACAGATCAGGCCAGAGACAGAATGAGCTGGCCAAAGGCCACAGCATCTCTGAGCTAGAAGAGGGCCCCCTAACTGGAATTGCCTGGTGTCACGTGCAAACCTTCTGCCCACCCTCCCCTGGCCCATGACGACTTACTTGTGATTCCTCTTTTCTTACCTAAGAATCCTATGAAATAATAGGCGTTATTTGGTTTTCCTCCTAAGGCCCCTAAAGACTGGGGCATCTTAAAACACTCCTAGAGGGAAAGAGAGTGCAAGATTCTCAACTCACTTGTGGACTGCTGCTCACGGATCTCTGTACTTACATGGCGGTGTGATGGGCGGGCGGCACTCTGGGCCTGGGAAACGGGGTGACTTACTTTGAACGCATCAACATAGACAGGATTGATTTGGTTTATGCCCAGGCGAAGGGGCACAATAAGCAGCAGGGGTTTCCAGGCTGGGCAGCAGTCAAAGGTGCCCCTACTCTGATTCGAAGCATTCAGAGTGCTGGGGGTGCTCTCACCAACTGTGTCAGCACTTGAGGGAAGGACGCAGCACATTTTTTCTGGAAGTGGAAGACAAGAGAGCTGGGTGAGTAAGGGGTATCCGGTCATATGAGATACACCAAGGGCGAAACTAAGGGCAACCTCACATGACATCTGCCTGGGAGGCCCTCCCATCTGCCACTGAGGCCCAGCTTGCCCCACCTCGCCCCACAGGAAGCCCAGGCCACTTCTCCAGCCCTTACTCCTCTTCCTTCTGGCAACCGGGCACTCACTTACCTCCTGCCAGATATTAGGGGCTCATTGAAAAAAAAAATCTGATTTCTAGACTAGTTTTTCTGCCTTTGAGACAGGGACTGTATCTTTGGTTTCTCTAACCCCATGGCAGAGAGCACAGGGCTGGGGCAAATGGGGACCTCCACAGAAGACCTGTTGGTTTAACTGATTATCCATACTTTGAGTATCCTGCAGGGAAAGGGTCTGATAGCTCACTGAGTGTCAGAAAAGACCCTCATTGTTTTCTTCCTTTCAGAAAGCTGAAAGGAAAGAGAAGAAAAGGCATAGCGAATGATTAACCAGAGTCCTGTGCCCTCCCCCCAAGCTTCCCTGCTTTAGTGGAGCAGGCCAGAGAGTCAGTGCCTGTCTGTCAGTCTGTCTGTCTGTTGTCCCTCTCTCTCCCTCTCCCCCACCCACCTCCACCCCACACACTTTCTGAATGTTGAGGAAGGACCTCAACCACCCACCACCTGGGAAGGTAGACAGGCTAGGGACTCACTGATATCTTCAATGACCACTGTGTTGTCCATTGAAACATAAACAGCCAAGGAATTCCATTCGTCAAATAAAGCAAGTTTTCTGCAAAGTAACACACAATGAAGTAAAAATGGGGGAAGATGGCAACAATAGCAGGAAGCAGTACAATATATGCCCACTGTTCCTAAAGTCACCAAATGCTGAGCCACAGAGAAGTTAGGATTCGGGTCAGCTCTGGCTCCCCTGATCGAGAGCTCTGGAACATTCCATGTCCAGGGACCTTGAGAATGCCACAGAGTCACTGTTTTAGAACGCTGAAAAAAAAGTCCTGCTTTACAAAATGGAAAAGTCTACCTCACAAAGTGACTCCTATCAGGCAAAAGAGAAAAGATGCCAATGTATCTGCTCCCAGAGATTTTGTTTTCTCTTCTTAAACAAAACACATTCTGACTTACTGCTTTTTTCAAAAAAAGGAAACTGTCATGAAGATATAAATATAAATATAAATATAAATATAAAATATAAAATATAAAATATAAATACATACATATGTTTGGGAGCACAGATAATGTTGAGGATAAGGCTGAGGAAAATGCAGAGAGAGAGAGAAATATCTCTTACACCCCTCCCCATGTGCAGTGCAAATGCTGTTCAAGAGACGTGGGCTGCATATGGCCTTGGTGTGGGGCCTCTCTGGTCAACAGCTGAACAGAGAGAGAGCATGATGAATTGTATAACACAAGGATTTTCTGAGGTCTGAGTAAAGCACCATTGCCGGGGTGCCTGGGTGGCTCAGTTGGTTAAGCATACGACTTTGGCTCAGGTCATGATCTCACCATTCATGAGTTCAAACCCTGTGTTGGGCTCTGTGCTGACAGCTCAGAGCCTGGAACCTGCTTCAGATTCTGTGTCTCTCTCCCTCTGTCTCTGCCCTTCCCTTACTCACACACTCTCTCTCAAAAATAAATAAAAACATTAAAAAAAAAAAAAAAGAAAAAGTAAAAAAAAGATTAAAAAAATAAAAAATAAAGCACCATGGCCATTTCTCTCTTATGTTTCCCTCTTACCAGTCTGAAAGAAGGTGTATTTAACCTGGCTACTTCTGGAATTCTTGAGTAAATCACAGCCTCACTGGATAAAACAATATATATATATATATATATATATATATATATATATATATATATATACATATATATATATATGGTTTTCCTAACCAAAGTAGCTCCCAGGAAGAGGTTAATTACCATTACACTTTAATTTCATTCCTTGTAATGTATTACCTTTCCCTGATACACTAATACTCTGTTATTAATGATAACAATCACAGTGACTCAAAACCCACTTAGGGGTGCTTGGGTGGCTTAGTCGATTGAGCGTCTGACTCTTGATTTCAGCTCACGTAATGATCCCTGGGTCGTGGGATCAAGCCCTGCGTCAGACTCGGCACTAAGCATGCATCCTGCTTAAGATTCTCTCCCTCCCTCCCTCCCTCTCTCCCTCCCTCTCTCTCTCTGCCCCTCCCCCACCAAAAACAAGCCACTTAAATTCTTTAAAAAAGGTATGTTTCCATTTGCTTATTGTTGAGAACTTCAAAATTTAGAAGAAAGAAGCAGATTCTGAAGGACATCATGTAAAAACCAAACATTTCAGGCTGGGTTTGGGTCTCGGCACAGCCATTCTCATCCATCTTCTACACCTTCGACCCTGGGTTCCTACGGTGCTTCCTGAAATACTGCCAGATCTTCACTCAGCAGAATCAATGATGCCCCCCAAAGGGACTATGGACTAAGGCAAGGAAGTGGTCACAGGGGGGTTGCAGCATTAGCAAGGAATAACGCCAAAATACAGATTTTGCTTGGGTCCCCAGGAAATCCAGACTACTCCCCTCGTGAGCACATTTTCAGAGCATTCTGGTTCACGAAGACTGGCTAATAATTGAAACAGTGCCCCCTCTGTACTTTTCATGGAGCAGGTCCTGCCATCATCCTCCAGAGAGCCTGGGAATTGAAGAAGCAAGCTACACCAAAGGATTCCAGATGGTTTCAATCTTCTGATGCCTAAATCCAGCTTCAGATTCTGGATGGCATCTCCATTCACCCGTCAAGTATCTACTGAGCACTTATGTGTGCCAGGCAGTTTTATGTGCTGGTGTTACTGTAGTGAACAAGACAAATGTAATCTCTGCCCTTGCGGAGTTTTCATTCAGTGACAGGCTGTCAGGAAGGAGAGTGACAACAGGTGAGGTGGCCTAGATGTATAGGTGCTGATGCCACCCATCCCATTCACTTCTAAAATGTTCATCTTAGATTCTCCACCTTGCCTCTTGGTATGGGCAGTAAATTCTGCGATTTAACAGAGCAACTGCACAAGTACCATGCTGGGGTACCTGGAGTCTGCCAAGACACAACAAACTGATCCCAAGACTCCCTTGGGGTTTGTCTCCTCCCACAGGTGTTGAGTTCCTTGAGGCAAGAACTGTGTCTAGTTTATTTCTGTATACCCAGCACTTTGCACAGCACAGCCACTCAGTAAATGTTG